CCCTGCCGGCCCCCACACCCCTTCCCACACCTCCACTCTCAGGTCCAGGCTCTACCGAGTCCTCCTAAGTTCCATGGTGACCTCTCAAGTGCCCGCCCCCCTCCCGCAGGCCAAGGCCCCCCACCAGACCGGCTCAGGGCTCAGCTGTTTAGGCAACAGCACCTTCAACCTGGCCTGCCCCGCTCTTCACCGTCAGGGCGTCGTGCGGTCTGCTCTGTCACCGGCTGCTTATGCTTACGTGACCTCAAGCGAGTTGCTTTGTTTCTTTGAGCTTTAGGTCTGTAATCCAATGACTTACGTGCGGGGAAGTTTCAGTGGGGTCCAGCCAAATCCAGGCAAGGTCACCAGCCTCTCCCCACTGCCCCCATCCTGTCCTCTCCGTTTCCTTTGTGCTCTGGCCACGCTCAATCCTGTCACGTACAAGTTTCCCCTCCATCATGGAAAATGGTCTTCAGATGCCCCATGCTTACATGGTCACAGCCTGGGGTCCCCCAAAAGAAGGACTCTCTCCCAGGGTCCGTATCTTCATCCCAGAAAGGGTTCGATTCTGCTGGATCGCATGACTGTCCCTTGGCCCACTGGCTATTGGCAGGGCAAGGGGCCTGGACCTCGTGCCCTGCCATGGCCACGGGACAGGTGGGCCGGTGTGACAAGCCCCCCAGAGCCCCTGGGATGGGAAGGAGCGCTTTCCTATGAGGAGGGTTGCAGATTTCTAATCTATAACATAGCAATTATGTACAACGTCCACCTCACAAAGGCATGTACCTAGCACCTAGCAATAGTAAGCCCTCAGGAAACGAGGGTTCCACCTCTCTGACCCACCCTCCAAAATGCTGCCGGGGGCAAGAGAGGGGGCTCTTCAATAAATGAGCTGTATTATGTCAGTGCCTTGTTCAAAAATCCATAAAACAAAATAAAACTCCCATCAGCTGCAGCCCCTCTTTTTGTCCAGAATGCAGTCCAGACTGGCATCAGAGGCCATTTAAGACGTGGCCCCTACCCCCTCCTGCGTGTGCTCCCCCCCTGCACCTGCACCGCAAGGCGCCCTCTGGCCCACGGGCGCCCAGCGCTTCTCCAGAGCTTGGCTTCTCGGTGGCAGCGGCCCCTCCCCCAGCAGTGCTGACAGCCAGCGGTCACGCTTCACAGCCTGTGTGTGGCAGGTGAGCCTCCACTCCCTGAAAGACTGGGGTGCCCTGGGGCCAGGGCCTCCAGCTCCTGCCCCACGAGAGGCCACGTGCTGCAGCTGAGAGCAGAAGGTCAGGGCCCCAGAGTGGGGACACGATGTCCAGAGTCCTGGGGCAGCCCAGGCCCCTGAGTGGGGGGTGGGGGCCATGGTGGGCCCTTTTTCGTGTCCACATCTGCCTACTGTTTCCTGAGAGCCTCCCGGGAGCCGGGCACCCTGCTGGGTGCTGGGAACTTGGAAATGAATCCAATGGACAAGATGGCTGCCCTCGTGGGGCCTGCGGGAGGGAACAGACCTGTAACGGGGAACCAGAAGATTAAAGACATAAACGCACCGGTCAACTCATAAGCACAGACCACGTAACCATGTAGGTGCTTGAAGGAAAGGCGGAGAGAGGGGGAGAGCACCAGAGGAGGCCTCATTTACCCTGGGGGTGGGCAGAGGTGCTGGGGACGCAGGTGCTCTGGAGGACGGAGAACTTCGGGGGGCCTGAAGGACGCAGTGGGGTGAAGCAGACGGGAGGGTACTCTAGGCAGGGAGAATCGCAGGGGAAGGCCCTAGGGACAGTCTGGGGCTGCCTTTGGCCTGGGGACTGGAGTGCAGGCCAGCTGGGGCCTTTGGGGGCCGGGACAGGCACAACCTGAGGGGCCCGAGGCCACAGTAAATATTTCTTATTTGATTCCAAGAGCAGTGATGAGCCACTGATGAGCCACTGAAGGGGGTGGCATCCCTCTGGCTGCCACGCAAAGACGGAGCAGAGACAAGCGGGGGGTGGGGGGGGCAGGAGGCTGGGGAGACGCTGGGGCAGAGAGTAGAGACCCCGTGATGCACGAGTCAGGGGACCAGGGGTTAGAAAAGGCAGAGTGCCCAGAACGGCTCTCTGGCTTCGGTCCTGGGGGCTGGTGGTTCTGTTTTCAGAAATGGAGAGATGAACCTAGGCTTTCTGGATGCCATTTGCTTTGTTTTAACCCAGAAGCACTGTAACTCCTCAACCCGAGGCCCGGCTTCATCTCCTTTCTGCTTCCCCTCCGCAGGCCTTTGTGGCTGGAGCATAGGTTCTTGCTTTGCTGCCCAGTTTGTCTCTTTCTGGAATCAAGCTGCTGAGAAGAGCAGAGACTAGAGGCATGTTTCTGTTTCCCAAGACGCCCGAAGGCAGGGACTGGGTCTCCACCCTCAGACTGGGGGCTCTCAGAGGACAGGGTTTGGGTCTCTCCCCTCAGACTAGGGACTCCTTGAGGGAAGGGACTGAACCTCCCCCATCAGACTGGGAGCTCTCAGAGGAGAGGGTTTGGGTCTCTGCCCTCAGACTAGGGGCTCCGTGAGGGCAGGACTGGACCTCCCCCCACCAGACTGGGGGCTCTCAGAGGACAGGGATTGGGTCCCTCCCCTCAGACTAGGGGCTCCCGGAGGGCAGGGACTAGGTCTTCCCCTTAAACTAGGGGCTCCTTGAGGGAAGGGACTGGGCCTCTCCCACCAGACTGGGAACTCCTGGAGGGCAGAGACTGGGTCTCCCCCATCAGCCTGGGGGCTCCCAGAGGACAATGGCTGTGTGTCCCCCCTGAGACTGGGCTCCCAGAGGGTGAGGCCCGTCCCCTGGCTCTGTTTCCCCAGCACTTCCCCGCCCTCCAGCCTGAGGTGACAGGGAAGTTACAGTCCTGGACCAGGAGATGGGATCAGGGAGGGGCCGCCTCACCCATCTGGCCCAGCCCGTGAGAAAGTCCCTCCAGCTTCCCTCCCACCCTGAAGGCCCTCTTCCTCCTCTGCCTCCTCTGCCTCCTCTGCCTCGTCTCCCGTTACCTGGGCCTTCATTACTCAGCAGTGCCTCTGGAAGAAAATGCACGGGGGCCCCCATCCCCTGCCTGCACGCCACCGCCACCGTGGGCAGAACCTTCTCTGCCATCCAGGCTTCTCAGAGTTCAAGCACAGAGGGGGCAACACGGGGACCTGGGCCACCGAAACTCCTCTGGTCCTGCGACCGGAGGGCGAGTGCTGGAGCGAAGAGGGCCAGAGAAGGCAGGAGGGCAGAGACCAGGGAGGGGGCACGTGTGACTGATTCTACCCCGGGGTTGGCCGGGCGCGGG